TGAAATTGCCTACATCTCTTCGTAGTTGTGCGGTCTTCGAGGGTGGAAAGAATCGTGCCAGAAAGGCTTGTGATAATTCTTCCCAACAGGTGAGTGATCCTGGATTAAGACTCAGAAGCCAACTCTTCGCTTTGTCTCTGACAGAAAATGAGAATAGCTTCAGCCGGATGGCATCATCAGAAACACCGTTAACTTTGATCGTGTCACAAATCTCCAAGAAATTGGCAAGATGGAGATTTGGATCTGCAGTGGCTGCTCCGGAGAATTGGTTCGCCATGACCATGTTGATTAGCCCCGTCTTCAGCTCGAAGTTGTTTGCGGCTATCGTCGGTTTCCTGATTCCCGAATAGTTCTCATTCACAGCTGGAGTTCGGTATTCTCGCATTGTTCGCTCGGGTGGCAGGTTCGGTCTTGGCTGCTCGTGATCTCGTCCTGGCTCTCGATCGTACTCAAAGGCCAGGTGCTCTGGATTTCCTTGATCTTCGGCCATTGGTTCACTTTGTTGGTTGCGCGTGGCCCTTAGTCTACGTAATGTCCTTTCAATCTCGGGATCGTAAGGTATGATTTCCAAATTTCGACGCCTTAGCATAAACAAAGTGAGTGGTTAAAATCAAGGTAAAAATCGAAAATAAAACAAGTAAATGGCTAAAGTAATAATCAGATAATTGGTAACACTATCAACAAAGATAAAATCAAATTGGTCCCCGGCAACGGCGCCAAAAACTTGATACGTGTTTTCCTCACGTATAAATTACCGCAAGTATACAGTATCGCATTTTGCAGAACAGTGGTTCCGGATATCGATCCACAGGGACCTTGTAGATTCACATGCTGAGTAGTGTAATTATATTATCGTTATATTATCTAGCCGATCGTAAATATTTGGAATTGTGAGAAACCTTAATTTAAAAGCATCCAAGAGCGTAAACATGCAAATATAGAATGTACATAAATAGAGTAACGACAACTCAACGCGGGGGGACTTCGATTTAGATGGGGACTTCTAGGGCCAAATCCACCTATGTATAATCAACAACGATCTACAAATCCGTTATCTAACACCACATTCCTATTCGTTAACCCAGACGCTAAAGTACTCTAACCCCCGTCTCCAGTGTAGTTAGAGTCTACCCACAGGTCCGACGTCTCCGTTCAGAACCTGCTATTAAGAGAGCATTTAGGTCAAGTCCTTAAGGGCTACCCGAAGTGCATCACGTCTCCGTTTCCACACCCCGAGCTATGTTTTCCTAACTTCAAACAAGAAATCCTCTCTCGAGTTCATTCCTATTTAATATCAATCTGAGAGCTGATCAACACAATCAGAAGCATTTAATACAGGAAAACATAAACGAAATCAAAACACGACAAATAGATAACAGAAATGACGATCGAAATCAATATATACAAGACTTCATTGCCCTAGAAGAAAATGTTCTTAGTTCATAACAAACATAGAGTCAAAAGAATGTACACAAGAAAAGAAGAACAAAACGTAAAGAAATATCGTAAGAAAAACCCAAGTCGAAACCCTCGTTGAAGATTCCCGCGAAGAACTGTCGAAAACCGAAGAAAGTCGAAGATAGTCGAAGATTGATGGCTGACTTCTATTTATAGTAAGACAAAGCTTCTTGAGGAAGCTTTGCCTTTTTAGATATTTTTTACACATCCCGAGGCCATATCGCGATATGGGTTACCGTATCGCGCGATATGGTAAAATTGCAAGCTCTCTGTTTCGTTTTCTGCCATATCGGGATATGGGAGGTGATATCGCGCGATATGGTAAAATTGCAAGCTCTCTGTTTCGTTTTCTGCCATATCGCGATATGATAGGTGATATCGCGCGATATGGGAGGTTATATCTCGATATGGTCACTGCAATAACTTCAAACTCTGTTTTGACCCTTTTGTAGCCCAAATCGGACAATTTGCATTTCACAAAAGTTGTAGACCTTGAAGTTGGCTTCGTAAATCCACTTGAATCAGCTCAATCGGAGATCGTATGAAGAAGTTATGCGTAAAATACCAAAGGCTGCCACCATCCACTTGATTGCAATATTTGCTCTTGTTTGACTTGATTCTCGGCTTCGCTTTCAAAATCGTTTCGAATCGGCAACAATATCTAACAAAACCTAAAAAAAGAAATAAAACAAGAAATGCAATAATATATACAAATAACGCCGAAACTCGGACGAATGAAGACCAAAACTCGAAGATTCGATAAGCAAAAATCGTGCAAAACGAACACTTATCAACGATCATTTAATAAAACCCAACTCCTATCTTTTGGCATGCTTTAATTAACAAGATTACCTAGAAATTGGGAAGGGTTCACAATTATTAAAATCACAATTATTCTCAAAGTTACATTCGTAAACTAAAACTAAATTAAGATGGTAGTCGCAACGGGAAAGCTTTCAATTTTTAATTGACATCAATTTTCAATTTTCAAAAATCCCCCCTCATTAGTAAGTAAATTTGACTCCGTAAGGGTGAACAAATACAATACGTAGTCTAGGGATTGTTTTAATTACCCAAATATTATGATTTTTTTCATAATTTAGATTTACCTTAGGGTGTGATTGTAATTTACCCTAATTTAAAGCAATTTTTCAATATTTTTCCGAAAAGGTTTTTTTTATTTATTTATATATTTTATAGTCATAATTAGGAGTGGAAATCGGACGGATCGTATCGGATTTGGGTATTTCGGAAAATTTCCGATTTTTTTCGGAAGTCCAAAACGCATTCCAATTCTGATTCTGATTTTTTCGGAATTCAAAAATTGATTCCGATTCCGATTTTTTTGGAATTTTCGGAAAATCGGAATTTTTCGGAAATCTTCATTTTTGGAATTTTCGGAATTTTTTCGGAAATTTTTGGAAATTTTCGGAATTTTCCCAAAAAAAAAAAAAATAAATAAAAAAATAACCACCGACACAGTAGCAAAGTAGCCAAATTGCAGAAAGAAACATACACACAACAGACTCACCAAAACACACACACACACACACAACAGACTCACAAACATATAATTCCGAGCAACATAATTCCGAGCAAACACATAATTCCGAGCAACATAAAACCCAAGAACAGTTCGCATAATTCCGAGCAACAATAATTCCAAATAATTCCGAGCAACACAGGCTCATCAAATCAACATAAAACAAACAAACACATAATTCCGACAAAAAACCCAAAAATACATCGCAATAATCAAACACATACAAAATTTTCAACATAAACAAACAAACATTTAAAAAAACAGAAAATTACCTTGACAAAGGAGGAATAGCGGCAGACGGTAACGGCTGGCGGTGGAGGGCTGTCGGCAACGGCGGAGGGCTGGCGGCGGGTGGCTGTCGGCAACGGCTGGCGACGGCAGATCGGAGGAAAGAGAGATTGGGGGCGAATTAGGGGGAAGCAGGCGGCGGGCAGCGGGCGGCGGAACGACGACGTTTGACGGGCAGCAGGCGGTGGGCAGCGGGCGGCGACGGGCGGCGGTGGCAGATCGGAGGAAATAGAGAGGGGGAGAAAGTTTGAGAGAGAGGGGAGAAAATAGATCGAATTAGGGTCTGGTTGAAATAATAAGTCAACATTTGCGACGATTACTATTTTCGTCGCCAACATATTCGAGACCTCGCGACGAATCATAAAGTTACGTCGCTAATATATTCGAAAAAAAAATTGAAAACATTTCTTGTGACGCTTTAGTAAATCCGTCGCATAGAGATAAAAAAAAATTACTCAAAAAGTAGCGACGTTTTACGTCTTTCCGTCGCCACATATAAATTAATAACAAATAATTGGGCACTACTAGCGACGTTTCCGCACAAACGTCGCAATGTATATTATTTTTTCTTTTTTAAAATAATAATTGCGACGATTCCTCGTGTTACGTCGCGAAATTTGAAATATAAAATCACAAAATATGTAAATTTGCGACGAATAATTATTTTCGTCGCCAATGTAAGTATTTTTTAAATTTTTTTTTCGTATTTGCGACGTTTATATCATTTTCGTCGCGAACTAGCGACGCTTATCCAGAATCGTCTCTAGCGTTTTGAACCTGAATTTTCCACTTTAAGCGGCGATTTAAGGTCCGAAACGTCGCAACCGGGCGACGAAAGCATAACCGTCGCTACGAAAAACGTCGCCAGTCTTGCATTTTGGCCTAGTGAGCGACAACCCGAAAGTCCAAACTCGGATAAGGGAATTCGGCCTGATTCTTCATCCTTTTTTTCTCTTTAAGCCCGAGAACTCGAAAACTGGAAACCTAAAACATCCGAAACCCAAAAGCCTCCCGAAGGAGCCAAGGCTAAGCCCATTCTTACAAACCATCAATCATTCAATTGTTTCAAGTTGGCCTTAATGTATCTTCCACTTTGTTAATAATAGGGTAAATCGGTCATTTGTAAGTAACTGTGTTGATGTTAAGGAAATCAAACATTAAAGGCCTCGTTTGGTTGAGGAGATTAGTCATGATGAACTAAATAATCCCACTTTGTTTGATGTTTGGTATCTCAATAACTTGTCGGATCGACCCACAAATATTATGTTATCATGCTTTATCTTGCCTTTTAGGTTTTTTTTTTTCATCTTCCAAGGTCCAATAATATAATTTATTTTTATTAGATTATTTAATTTTATCTTCGCTAATCTCAACAAACGAGGCCTTAATATTGAGTTACTTAATCTAAATTAATTCATAAGTTCGGGCCCGTTTACAATCTTACCCGGGCCATGCACAACGAATCAAATTGGCCCGAATATTGAGATCACGGGGTCATTATAGTAATTTCTGCGACGGTCCAATAAGTCTTGCCGAGTATAGGCCCGAATGTTGAGAATGCGGGGGCATTATAATAATTTACAGGACGGTCCAATAAGTCTTGCCTTTATTGGCTCGAATGTTGAGAATGCGGTGCATTATAGTAATTTCCCAAGTATTGGCCCGAATGTTGAGAACGCGGTGGCATTATGGTAATTTCAGCACCGGGGTGCTGTGTATCTATCTGTTTCAGCTATAACGAAAGAACTAGATTCTGTTACTGTAAACTGAAACAGCTCACTACTCTCTCTCTCTCTCTCCTCTCTCTCTCTCCTCTTTCTCTCTCTAACTCTCTCTCTCCTGGTATAAAAGGCGTGAAGGAGAGGCGGGGAACACACCATTTTCAATTTTCACCAGAGCGCTTCTTCATTCATCGATTAAACACGCACAAACACACACACACACACACACACACAATTACACACACATTCTCTGTGGATATGGCGTCGTCTTCATCTTCGTCGTCTTCGCTCGAGTCAATATGGAATCAGCTGCCTGCGCGAAATCATGCCTTCCGAAAGATCAGTGACGACGTCTATCATGATATCGTCGTTCTCCGCCACCACGACCGTCGCTACACCGTCGAGGTATTTTCACTTTCACTTCAACTTTCTCCGCCGTAGAATATACCATTTATTTATTTTGGTTTCGATTTTTTATGTACGTAATTATTGAAACTGCGCGCTTATCTGATCCTGAATTCAGCTGTTTTTTACACTCGTTTATTTCTAATAATAATAATAATATATATAATGTATAAAATATATATAATATATTATATATGAGATGCGTGATTTGATGAATAAATGTTGCGTTGTAGATTTTGATTTCTACGGGTCAAGTAATATCATGGAAGAACCAAAATGATGACGAGCTGCTTTTTGTGAGTGAAAAGGTATTTAATTTTCAGCTGTGACATTTAATTAATTAAATACAGTCTTAATTAATTAATTAATTATTTGTGTGTGAGACGATCAATATATATATATATATATATATATATATATATATATATATATATATCTAGTTGTCCCTAACTAATCACCTGATTAAGAATTAATTAATCTGCACCTTTTAATTTATTAATATCATGCTTCGATTAATGATTATGATCTAGATTCAATATTTTTACTTAATTCCATGCATGCATGATTATTAATTATTTCAATGTTTTTAATTCCAGAGTATTATCAAAAAAGATGAACCAATTCTTGGAGGCATCCCAGTTTGCTTTCCAAGGGTATATATGCAATTCTTTTAATTTAATTTGCCTTGTGTTTATTCAGTTTAATTCGATTAGAAAGAATATTGATCGATATAATTTTGTATTTCTAAATCGAATGATCAGTTTATCAAGAATGGAAACATCGAGAACACCTTTCCCGCGGGCTGGCTTATTGACGGTTCCGTCCCTCAACCCAACGATAAGCCAATGCTTGCTTTGATTCTCGGGCCATCTCATCGTGACTCTTTAAACTGGCCTAATGAGTAGAGAACTAACTGTCTTTCTATTTCCTTTTCGATCTCTTTGTATTAAACCATAATATATTTATATATCTTCCGTTTTGTCGTCGCAGATTTGAGTTCCGTATAAAGTATCAGCTGGGAGAAAACGGAACTCTTGAGATGGAATCCCGTATCGAAAACACCGATGATCACCCTTTTACATTCCAGTTTTGCTATCAAAACTACTTAGCTGCCTCTTATATCGGGTATTATAATTAGTACTAATGCGATTTATGCTGTTTAATTTCGTTTATTATCGCCATAGTTCTAATTAATCTGAAATTACATACATATCTTCCTTTGTTCAGTAACATTCGGATTCGAGGACTGGTTCGACTGGAATATCTGGACTATCAGATGAACATGAAGCGATTTACTGGACGGGATTATAAAATGCCCATTAGATCTGAAGTGAGTACGTTTATTATGTTTGTCGTTAATTAGCTTAATTAATTAATTAATTAATTAATTAATTAATCTCTTGATTTCGATCACCGTCGCTCACATACGTTTACGTGTAGGTGGACAGGGTGTATGTCGACGTGCCAGCTGGAGGAAATAATAAGGTGATCAATGTTGGCGACTATGGGAAAGGTCGAACTTATACCATCGAGAGAAGTGGCACTAGTCTTCCTGACATTGGTAAGGTTTACTTTATATATATTTACTTTATATTCAACGAAACGAATTATTTTAATGAACACCTGCGTATATATATATTTAATTTAATTTTTGTGATTTTTCTTTTTTTGGTTTTTTGATATATAGTGGTGTGGAATCCATGGATTGAGAAGGCAAAGAGAATAGGTGATATGGGAGATGAAGAATATAGGAAAATGGTGTGTGTGGGGCCCGCTGCAGTTGTGGATCCGGTCACGTTGAATCCCGGTGAGGCGTGGACCGGGAAACAGAGCATTTCTATTGAGGAAGAGACCGGTTCTGTATGCTGAATATATCATCAGTTTCTCTATAAACTCATTTCTGCCTATACATACATATATACATATGTAATATTCAGGCAGTACTTGTGATATATTCGCATTCTTGCGTCGAATTTGCGGTTACGTTTTTCGATTAGTTGAATAAATACCTAAACCAGCTTCCTATTGAAAAACAGATATATAAATGTGTGGTTTTTTTCTTACTTCTAATTGGTTGAGAAATGGTTTACTATATATACGTTCTTGTTTGTGATCTTTCAATAGTGTTCAGATTTGCTCCACTCAAAATATATATTGGAAGCATGCATGCATGCATGTATATGTAGTGTCCTTTTTACGTACGTGCTTGTATGCATGTGCATGTTTGTGGATGACTTGTATATGTATTATTATCTAAGTAGTTGCACATTTAAAGGTGGTAATTAACCTAGTGTTTAGTGTTCTTAATGTTATTGGTTTATGCCACGTGTACCATGCATGCATGTAACCTTATATATGATCCAGCTATAAATTCTTCTGTCTATGTTGAGAAAATGTTTAGAAAATCAGATCTAGTTACTTCTTTTGTATCTTAGATTTTAGGGAACTAGATATCAAAGTGGTGCATTTACAATTTGTTAATAACTAACTTTGGATAATTTGTAGAATATATGCATGTATGAGCGTATACTATATTGATTATTCGTTTATTTTTCGATTTGTCGAAAGAAAGAAAACGTGGCATTCGAGTAGGGAAGCGTAATCCAGAAGTCCAAACTCGGATAAGGGAATATAATTTAGGCTAATTCATTGTCCTTTTTTTTCCTTTTAAACCCGAGAGCCCGAAAACAAAAAACTCGAAAAATCCAAAAACACAAAAGCCTCCCAAGGGAGCTAAGGCTAAGCCCATTCATACACACCATCAATTGTTTCAAGTTGGCCCAATGTACCTTCCACTTTGTTAATAATAGATCGAGTAAATTACGGTCGTCCCCTAATGCAAGGTTAAATTACGGAAAAAACCTCTATTACTTGGATAATTACGATCACCTTTAACTATGAATCTTCTTACACGTTCACTCTTATGTTGTCAAAATTAAGATATATAATCTTATAGATTACGTGGAATGTTCTCTAGTTTGTACTCGTTTTGTGTAAAAATACAGTTTCTTATGCACTACGTACAATCGATATATATACAAGCCAAAAAACACATCTTATAATCACTTTGCTTCAAAATGCGGAGCTTGAACGGTGGAAAATGGGTACAAACTGGAGAATATTCCAGAACGTAATCTAGAATTCCACTAAAATTTGACACGTGGGTATGTGAGAATATTCACATTTAAGGGGTGGTTGCAATTATCCAAGGTAGAGGGAGTTTTTAGTAATTTGAGTGTAATTTACCCGTTAATAAATAATAAATAAAGAAAACACAAAGTGAGTCACGGGCTACTCAAATTAATTAATTAATTTTGCAGCAATATTTGTCTCTTCAAACCTGACAAAAAAGCCCCACACAACAGCAAATGAGAATCTCTGTGAATAATAATATAGTATGCTTTTTGGCTTCTTCTCTCTCTCTCTAAACTCTTCTTCTTCTTCTTCTTCCAGAAACTATTCACTTTTAACAGCAGCAGAAAAAGACGATACAAAAATCACGGGACTCCAAAAATCACCGACTTTCTCCATACATCTTCCCAACATATACTATCATCAATTTCATCATGTCCCCCAAAACAGTTCATCAAAAACTACATACAAACCCCAGATTTAAATCTCAACAAATTGTCGAACAACAATGCCGGATAGCTTCGATGCTGTCTCTTTCGTTGATAATGAAACAGAGTTCGACAAATCTATGCGGGTAATTTCATATTAATTTTCACTTTTTTATTTTTTTTCAATTTCATGATATATAGGGCAAAATTGATTTGGGCATGTGGGAAAACTTGCAGGAGCTGAGAAAATTAAGCTCTCAGCTTTACAATGCCGCTGATTATTGTGAAAGAACTTTCATGAATGCAGAAGATAAGAAAAGGTGAGTTTTTTTTTTTTTTTTTTTTCTTAATTCATATCTTTTTAAATTTTAGTGCTGCAATTTGATGTAATTTATATTTGCAGTATGGTGGAGACGACGAAGGCGTACATTTCAAAGGCTGTTGTTACAGTTGTCGATCATTTAGGCAGCATCTCATCTAATCTCGAATCATGTATCGCCGATAGCAATTCGGTTCTTCAAACAGAGCATAAAATGTACATCTTGAAACTGGTACGCAACCTGTTCGACCTTTTGTCTCTGAGAACTTTTTGACAATGTGGAGTGTCGAAAAATTAGAACCTGGCTAAATTGATCTTTGTTTTCTAATGAACAGAGAATTGGAACATGCCTTCATTACTCTCACAAACTTGCCCTTCCAAGGTTTTACTGGAATGCCGATCCTTCGCGACATCATCGTCGCTATATATTGCCACGTAATAATAATAAAAGATCGATCACCGTCTTTAATTAAGTCATTTCACAATAAACACGTTTGATTCTTGTATAGTCTAACGTAGTAGTAGCATATTTTTATTTTTTTTGTTTGTGTTGTCTCTTCATCAGCTTCAACAGATTCGTTGATGAAGATCGATGTCACAATGAGGTAAAATTCTCTTGTTATATATATGTTGAATGTGAGAAGATTTTATTTGAAAAATATTGGGAATAAATTTAGTGGTTGTGCTGATGCAGGGATAGTACTATAGGTGGTATTGAAGCGAAGATAATCGAAAAGGAAGACGAATTCGAAACAGAGGAGCCGCTGTTTCTACACACGTATAACTGCAAACCGTCTTTGGTTGACAATTTCTCAATAACGAACATTGAGAAAAGGAATGGATCTTCACCTCAAGGCAAGATAATCTTACATTGCAAAGAGTACTATGAAATTAATATATTTTTTAATCATTTTTCGACAATCCTAAGAATGTTTTGAAAAGGGCATACGTTTATTTATTTCTGTATATTTTCTTATTTATTTTTGTCGGGGTTCTTATAGTGGTACCGGTGCGTGACGGGCTATCGATACTACCAAAAGCCGAGCAATCAACTTTCCAGTTTCAGGTGAGATTTGTTTATTTCTTTGTTTGAGGACCACTTATTGTTGTTGACAATGATATAAATAATTTTTTTTGATAATTACAGGAAGTTCGGAAACTAAAACGAAGCATGATCAATTGGAAAGTGATGCAGAACAAGGACATTGCATCGCTAATTCGGCGTGGCAAGAGAATTCTTGCGTAAAATATGTCGATACTAACGACGTTTTTCTTTTTTTTAATCTGTAATTTGGATTATGTAATGTTAACCGGTACTTTATTTTGGTCAGTATGCACCATGATGTATATATGATTCAAATCATGATCATCCCTTCTAATTTGCAGACATGATTTGAATTTTGAGGAAATAAATTGAAGAAAATGACATAATATCATTTGTATTGAAGTTTTTTAGATGATAATTTTAAATGTATCGTAATAAATATAGTTTCACTTTGTTGCACTAATAGAAACAACAAATATGTCAATTTTAACAATGAGAAGATAAAAATGTCACGGTCTATTTGTTTTTTGTTTTTTTTTGTTTTTAAATAAAAAAAATTCACTGTATTATATATGAAAATGGATAGAGGACCAAGATTTGAATCTGACTTCTGACATTGATTTCAATTCAAATGATATTTGACCTATATAATAAAGTATATAATATTTCAAAATCCAAAAAAAAAAAAAAAAACATAATAACAGTAATTAGGATAAATTACAAAAAAACCCTAAACTTAGGTTAAATTATGAAAAATGCTCCCACTTATGCGTAATTACCAAAATTCCCCGACTTTTGTTTCCGTCTTACATCGACCCCCTTACGATGTGATTTTTCATGAAAAGTTTTTTATTCCAAAGGATATTCCCCAAAAAATACCGATTCTACCCCTGTAAACGTAGAACATATTGAAGGTAGCCATACACAAATGTTTAAAAATTGTGTATGTATACTATAATTGTTCATATTAACAATCCAGAAAGTATATAATGTGATGTCGTATTCAAAAGCCACCTACATTTAAGAGATGGTTCTTAGAGGTAGGTAGAATCATATTTTTTTAGGGATATATTCCCTGAAATAAAAAAAAAGATCTCATGAAAAATCACACCATAAGAGGATCGGTGTAAGAAGAAAACAAATATCGGGAAAATTTGGTAATTACGGACAGATTAGGGTATGTTTCATAATTTAACCTAAGCTCAGGGATGTTTTCGTAATTTCCCCTAGTAATAAAGTATAGGAAACGGGCAGAGCTACTCCCACAGATCGCCGCGTCAACTTGTAATAATAAAAAAACAAATAAAACAGTGAGCCGTCAAACCAAACGCGCCCTTGCCCCTGTTGCAGTTCAATCGCCCGCGCCCACTGTTTGCTTTTCCCCTCCCCCAAGCTTTTACAATATTATTTCCCTTCTTCTTCTTCTTCTCCCCCTCACTCACTCCACTGATTCAAATCACTGATTCACTGTTACACAAAACCCATTTTTTCTCAAACTTTCCGAAATTCCCCAAAAATGGCCGATTCTGTTTTCGCAAACGTCGTCCGAGCTCCCGAAGATCCAATTTTAGGGGTAACGCTAATTACTAAATCCCCCCTTTTGTTTTTCATGTTTCATGATTTCTCTATTTCATTATCTGTTACGATCTTTACAAACTGTAGTTTTTTGAATAAGATCCGTAGTGTTTTTTTAGTGTGATCAACTTTCGTATTTTAGGTTGTTTCTGTGATTTAATTTTAGGTTGTGAATCGTGATCTTAGAATTGTAATTAATCAGGTTTTCTTAAAAAAATTAATTTCGTAATTAATTGAGGGTAATAGTATATTATTTATCTGGATCGTAAATTGAAACAGGTTACGGTTGCGTATAACAAAGATCAGAGCCCGGTTAAGTTGAATTTGGGGGTTGGAGCTTATCGAACCGAGGTCTGTTCTTTGCTCTTTGAAGTATTTTATCAAATAGTTGGAGTCCTATAAAAAAAACTGTGATTTTGATCTATAATTGGTGAATGGTAGGAAGGAAAACCTCTTGTTCTCAATGTAGTGAGAAAGGCAGAGCAATTGCTCGTAAATGATCCGTAAGTTTCGTTAAACGCCGATAAGTTTAAATTACGTGTTGAGATGTAGACGATTTTGATATTGCATTTTTTTCATGATATACAGTTCTCGTGTGAAAGAATATCTTCCGATTACTGGGCTGGCAGATTTCAACAAATTGAGTGCTAAACTCATTCTGGGAGCTAACAGGTACATAAAATCGCAATTTTCACTTATTTAAGCAGGATTATTACGGTTTCTATTTTTTTAAATCTCTAGATTTAATTTAATTTTTCCGATTATGAATACAGTCCCGCGATTCAGGAGAACAGGGTCACTACAGTCCAGTGTTTGTCTGGTACAGGCTCATTAAGGGTTGGAGGCGAGTTTCTCGCCAAACATTATCATGAAGTAAGTGAATCGTTCAACACTTTAATGTGTCCGTAAATAAAAATTGCACTTCATTGTAATAAATCGCCTAATAATTTTCTTACCAGAAAACTATATACATTCCACTGCCAACGTGGGGAAATCATCCAAAGATTTTCACTTTAGCGGGATTGTCAGTCAAGACTTACAGATACTACGATCCAAATACACGAGGCCTCGATTTTTCAGGTTTTGTCAAATTTTCTTTTACAACTGTCATAATAAAATTTAGATTATTTTTCTCTAACACGTGTCTTTGTAAAAATAGGGTTGTTGGAAGATCTTGGAAATGCGCCATCTGGCGCAATAGTTCTTCTCCACGCATGTGCTCACAACCCTACAGGGGTAGATCCAACTTCCGATCAGTGGGAGCAGATCAGGCAATTGATGCGATCAAAGGGATTGCTCCCGTTTTTCGACAGTGCATATCAGGTGATTTGACTTTTTTTGCCTAATAAAAAATAAAAAATAATTAATCGAGTTTCAAAGTTAAATTAATTACCGTACGTAAGTTCGTTATTTTTTTTCTGTGTAGGGTTTTGCCAGTGGAAACCTCGATTCTGATGCGGGGTCCGTTCGGATGTTTGTTGCCGATGGTGGAGAATGTGTTGCAGCACAGAGTTATGCTAAAAACATGGGATTGTACGGTGAAAGAGTTGGTGCACTTAGCATTGTGAGTACTTGATTATTTTGAAAATAAATGCCATTAACTAATCGGATGAAGAATGACAATTTTGATGAATTTTTGTTCCCTTTTCACCCAGGTATGCAAAAGTGCTGACGTGGCAGCGAGAGTCGAGAGCCAATTAAAGTTGGTCATAAGGCCAATGTACTCAAATCCACCTCTTCATGGTGCATCTATTGTGGCTAATATACTCAAGGATGGGTAGATAATTTTTTTATTTTTTTCTCAACTCGTATTATTATGAAATTGCATTATTATCGTTATGTACATTCAGTGGCATTATTGTAATTTATATCGCTGGTGTTTTTAAAAGCTCGTGTATCTGCATTCAGGGAGTTGTATACGGAATGGACAATAGAGCT